GCAATGAGAATCTGATCGGTGATCTGTCTTCCCTCCACAAAAGCACCTTGGTTGGGTGCAATAATAGAGGGGAGCACCTTCTTTTTCCTGAGAGACAACACCTTTGCAATGATTTTGTACAAGCTAGTCACCAGACTAATAGGTCTAAAATCCTTTGGTTGAGAAGCATCTTTCTTCTTTGGGACTAAAGCAATGAAAGTTGAGTTCAAGCCCAGATTTATTACACCCCTCCAGTGGAACTCCTCAAAAACTGATCTAAGATCATTCTCCAAAATATCCCAACAGTCCTGGTAAAAGGCCATTGTGAACCCATCTAGACCCGAAGCTTTTGTCCTGTCCATTGAGAATACTGCTTCCTTTACTTCCTCCATATCAAAACTTTTTTCTAACCACTCTCTCTTCTCTGCACTTAGAGTCGGCCTATCCAATCCCTCCAACCACACTCTCCCATTCATAGACCTTCTAAAAATAGATTTGAAGTGGTTTACTAGAGCCTCTGCAATTTTTGCCGGGTGGGACAACACCGCTCCATCAACTTCCAAATTAGAGATGGAATTCTTCTTTTTCCTCCCATTTGCCATTGAATGGAAAAACCTTGTGTTTCTGTCTCCCGCCTTTAGCCACTTACACCTGGATTTTTGCCTCCAACTAATTTCCTCCTTAACCAAGATGTCCTCCATCTGCCTCCTCAAAACCCATCTCAACTTCCTTTCTTTCTCTCCAAATGAACCTCTCTCTTCCTTCTGGTCCAAATCCTCGATTTGCTCCACCAGAACTCGCTTTCTCTCTTCTAATCTTCCAAACTACTTAACCAAGAAGAACCACCAAAGGAATTCATGTGGTTCTTCTTGACATTGATATCCTTATTGAATCACTTGGTGAAAGAACATAGAAAGGGAATAACGTTGAACCATTGGGTTTCAATTGGGAATGTCTTATTTGTTGAGTAGAATTAACTTACGTATCTTCATTAGCAAGCCTGGGATATTTTGGGGGGATCTTCACTACACACTAGTGAAATAAATTTAGAATACTACACATTTGGGAGTTGGAGGCATTAGAACATGGGGTTCATTGTATTGCTATTGCAGGGGTCTTTCACAAATGTTATATTAGTCTAATGGACTAAACAAAAACAGTTTACAATGGAAAACCTTGATTTTTACAAGTCATTGCAAGCTATATAGAGAAATCATAAATTCATAATCAATGCAGAGTGACTGTTAATTAGTAACATGTTAAGGTTATCACATTCACAGCAATAAAGAATACCCTGAAATCTAACACTTAATAAAATCAACACAGGAATTACATAATTAGTGAACTATGGTCGATGTTATGAAAACTGGCATGGGTATCAAACCAGAAAAGGAACTAGTTTTGGTTTTCCTAGTTTAACCTGGCAGTTCCACTTCCAGATTGTCTATACCAGTTATGTGGGACCAATTGCTCTGATTTCAATTGAACTGAATGTGCCCCTTCTAGTTCAGCTGGTTAGCTGGTCTGGTTGTTGAAACATTGATCAAAATATTAAAATGGTTGAACATGAAGGTAAAGCTAGAAGCTCCAGACATACAAGACAATGTATGCAAAACTAAAAAGATGTTTTAGCAGAAAAATACATCAAACAAGAAACAAAGGCCACAAGAATATAAGACATCCACACAATGTCATAGTCAACAAGGTGGCAAACATTGTCAACCACAAAAGTGGCATGTTAAATGTAGCAGCATAGTTTCATTGACATGTAAACAGTAACAAGAGCTGTATAATGAAACATAATGGGATTGATCAAACACATGGTGACAGCATCTATAAAGTATAAATGCAGGTATCATAAATTAACAAAACCAATAAGTAATAGGTAAAAGTTAAATTATATTTTTTACCATACTGGCCCCAAACCTAAAAACATAAAGATTTTGCTGTAACAAGAGTAGGACAACCTTGAGCCAGTATGTCCTTTTGTGGGCAATGCAACTTTTGATGTCTGAACAACCTATTGCATTAAATAGGGTACCTAAAGTACAGGGAGATTGTGTCACAAGGCCTACTCAGGGTTATTTATTTATTTTTTGATTGATAAATGTTGTTAACAAGATTTGAACCCAAGACCTCTTAACCTACCCAGGGAAATTGGTAAGCTAGCCTAGGTATTTATGTTTCTTGCTTGAATCTATGACTTCAATGCTCAACTGCAGAAGACTGTTTTGTCTCAGTTCAAAACTGAGACCTCATGACAATGGAGATGGTGCCACAACCACCCAGATAAGAATGGATTGGCTAGAAATAGGTGTTTCAAACATTAAGAAGAGATTACTATTAATACAAGAAAAAAGGCTAAAAGAAGAACCAGAAGTGCAGTAGACCAACAATATTCAGAGTTAAGTTGTTGCCAAAAACTACTAAAGTAGAATGTAACATGATGTAACATAATCCTAAAATGTACTGATCTAGATATCATAGAACTTGTGCATTTTCTAACAATAGGAAAAGCATGCAGATCTATTGTTTCAAGGTTTTTAATAACATTTAAATCCATGTATTTATATCTCTATCAATAATGTGTATTTTTACAAATTAGTTATCATTTTCTAACAGAGAAATGGTTTGAGAAGCAACTGTATCCAAATTTAACAGCCTTACCTCATCAAGTGGCTTCTCAAATTGTAGATTAATGCTTTCAGCATGTGCACGCATCACAGGGACTCGAATACAAGTGGCAGTCACCTTGACATTTGGATCATTCTGAATGAAATTAAAGCAAAAGTATTGTAGGTAGATTCAATGGTTTACGGCTTCTATCATCAAGGGAACTCCAAGGAAGAATTATATACATGACCAAAATCAGAAGAATGAGAAGATTCAACCCAATGCTTACCCAAATTTTTCTAGTCTCCTTCACCATTTTCATTTCCTCTTCATTATATCCATTTGAGAGAATAGGTGCATTGTGTGAGAACAAATTAAAAGCGTACTGCATGGGGTGCGGGTCAAGAGGTTAGTCTGAATGATTCAATGGAAAGTGAATGCATCTAACCATGCCCTATGATAGGCAACATGTAGATGAAATAAAGGCAAACCTGTTGCTTAAAAATATTACAAGTTGGCCTTTTGCCCTCCAGGACCTTATATTACAAGCAAACAGAAATGTTAGTTTTTCCCAGACGATAATAGCAATCAACTTTGTCCTCTCTTAAAATGGTTAAAATTTAAAAAAGGGCCGAATAATAATAAGGTATAGTGAAACAGAGGAAACCTCACGTGTCTGCAGTTCAAGCTCTTCCATTGCAGCAGCAGCACCACTAGCTGCCTGATATGTGCTGACAACCATTCAAATTACCTACAACATTTACATAGCATACAAAGCCTTAGGATCTATTCTGAGTGCTAAAAATTTGCAACTTCCAATGCATCATTTAGTTTTCTGTGATGGAGGCTTGCAAAGTTAACAAACCACTATTATAAACCCCGAGGTTTTTTCTTTACAAATAAAATAATAGAAAATACAAGCCGACTATTACCAGTAACAAGAGAAGCTCGAAGAAGAGAACTGAAACTCCACAAACTTAGAATAGGTATTCCATTGTTCTTCTTCGAGAGTCAACTGTGTAAACAAGATAGATGACTTTTACGGTGAGAACTCAACACAATTTGTCTTCCACCCTGTATAAACACGATGAGATACGAATTCAGAAGTAGTATTTTTATTCGAAGTGCAAAGCAAAACCTAGGGATGTTTGTTTGTACTTCGTAGGAATGCAAATTTGAATCGGTCCAACAAAACTAACCCAAGTTAGTTTTTTTTTTGGTACATTCTACATACTAAACAACATACTACGTACTACATTCAAGTCTCTGTTTTGAAAATTATGTGATTATCAATACGGGCCAAAATCACAATTAGCATTTTTTGAAAAAGAACTTAAAAAACAAAAAGCAAAGTTTTTTACTTGTTGAAAATAGATTATTTCTTGAAAAAGCACCTCTTTCGATAGAAAAAGTGAGGAGTTATACATGCCTAGGGGGTAGCTCTTTCCCAAGAGTCGGAAAAGTAAATTTGATTAAACTCCAACAGAAAACAATCTAAACTAACAATCCTACTAGAAAGCGCATTACAAGTGAGCCAATCGCGGCATGTCGAAAGGTGACTTTAGATCTGAATGAAGCACGACGAAACGCTGAGACAGACACTTATCTAAAAATCACTTATTCAGATTGATTTCCCATTAGCAAAAATAAGCATGTATTCCAAGAAGTACTCCCAAGTCCCAAATGTAGGGGTGTCATGGTTTGGCATATATTTTAAACTGAAAACCGATTAACCATTTAATTGGTTTGGCTTTGACCACTTAATTAGTATCCTGTACTTTGGGTCTAATGCCACTTTGGTCCCTAAACTTTAGAATGCAACAATTTAATATCCAAATTTTCAAAATGTGTCATCAATCAGTTACTAACCAGTCATTAAGTGGCATATGAAAAGACAATGTTTTTCAAGTATCATCTAATTTTCTTTATTAGCCATCCAAAAGTTGACAAAAATGAGCAGTTCCAAACCATTTTCTCTTTTACTCAAGAAATTTGGGACTGTTCATTTTTTGTCAATGTTTGGATAGTTATTAAAGATAATTAAATAGCACTTAAGAGGCATTTGATTTTCAAATGGCTGGTTAATAGCTAATTAATGGCAGGTATTAGATTGGCACGTTTTGAAAGTTTAGGTACTGAATTGTCGTGTTTTAAAGTTCAGGAACCAAAATGGTACTAGGCATAAAGTATAGGGTACTAATCGGGAATTTTCCCTAATATATATTATAAATAAATACTAAATATTATATAATATTATATATATATATATATATATATATATATAGGTTGATCCAAATTCAACCCAATTTTTAATCAGATCCTATCTAAAAATCAAATATAGGGGATATTCAAATCCAACAGAATAGGATCGAATTTTGAATCATTTCCCTAAACTATTGAGTATTTATACGTTTGTAATCATTTCCCTAAACTGTGTTTTTCAACTACAATCGGCCAATTAACAACCACTAGAATCCTACATCCAACTCCTTTCACTGGCATCCATCGCTCTAGATTCAGGCACCAAAACCTCACCACGACCCCAAACCCCAAAATTTGGCACAAATCAACCCCATGTTTCCCAGAAGGGCTCAGATCTACTATCCATGAGTTGTTTCCCTACATTCTTACCAACTAGTAATTACAATTGAGCATTGGGAATATCTCCCTTATCATTCATGGGGAGATGTTCTCAATACAAGGCAATGGTGTTATGTGGGTATGGATGTGGGAACAATTATTTATGGGTAGCAGATCGGGTGTGCAGGAAATGACTAGGACAACTACAACAAGAGTTTTTAAAGGAGGTCGTTAGCCTCTTTGGTGGTAGTGGTGTTTGAGACTTCTTCTCAAGCTCATTCAAACTAGTGTATGAGTTTTTTTTAATTAAATAATTCATTTTATTTTTCCTACCAAACTATAAAAAAGAAGGTACATATCTTTAGTATGTGTTTGGAACCGTGGGCGTTTATTAACTAAACATTTGTACTTTATTTATTTGCAAAACCGAGAAAAGCAATAATGGACCCGTTTATTGATACTTAGGCATCATTAGGCACCACATCAGCAAAACAATGAATAAATGCCTACCCATTGGGGGAGGTACTAAAAATGAAGCTTCCCCAATGGTAGACACACACATAAATCAAGGTCCGCTTTTACAAGTCTCTATGCATATGTATCCGCATAATGGAGCAAATGTTGAAGTGGCGCCTATGTGACAACGTTTATTCAATAAATGCCCACGGTTCCAAAGACACGCTTAATATTTGAGGAACAATGCCTTCTTCTAAAGCTTAATTTTGGGATTTTAAAATGTTTCAAATCACATGTGAAATCATGTGCTTAGATAATTGACAGAATACCGGGATTAAAAGTGGCACTTTTGGGGAATTTAGATATTTTAGTGGCACGTTCTAAAGTTTGAATACTAAAGTGGGACTACCCCAATATCGCAATTTGGAGAGAGATAATTCTCTTTTCATTGATTCGAGAAATATTACAAAGAGACATATATATATAGCAAATGAAGAAAAAAAAAAACAAAAAAGAGGAAAACTAATAAATTGTAAAGGAATCAGCTAACAGATTGAAAAGAGAATCAATGAAAAGAGAATTAATTGAAAAGAGAATCAATTGAAAAGATAATCAATTTGGAGAGAGAGATAATTGTAAAGGAGTCGGCTAACAGATTGAACTATTGAACGAGTGAGGTGGCAAGGGCTTAGTGAAGGAGTCAACTAATTGGTCTTCAGAAGTTACTGGCATCAGGTGGAACAAACCGGCTTGCAATTTTTCCCTTACAATGTGGCAATCTATGTCAATATGTTTTGTACGCTCATGAAAAACTGGATTACAAGCAATGTGAATAGCTGATCGATTGTCACAAAAAAACAAGAGCAGAAGCAACTTGAGGGATCTGCAAATCTTTTAATAAATAAGTAAGCCATTGAACTTCACATGTAACAGCAGCAAGGGCACGATACTCACCTTCAGAGGAAGATTTGGAAACAGTTTGTTGCTTCTTTGATTTCCAAGATATTAGACTATCTCCCAAAAAAACACAATGGCCAGTGATAGATCTCCTGGTATCAAGGCATGAAGCCCAATCTGAATCTGAGAAGGCTTTCAACTATAGAGATGATGAAGCAGAGAAGAACACTCCTTGGCCAAGACTAGCTTTTAAGTATTAAAGAATTCTATGTACAGCTTGCATATGAAGGTCTGTAGGGCAGTCCAAAAACTGAGAAAGATGTTGGACAGTAAAACAAATGTCTGGCCTTATGCTACATAAATAAATTAATTTTCCAACCAATTTTCTATAGGAAGTAACATCCGTTAGAGGAGTACCAACATCTTTATCAAGTCTTTGAGAGGTAATCATAGGAGTAAATACTGGCTTGCTGTTTATAAAACCTGTTTCCTCCAAGAGATCAATCACATACTTCCTTTGGCTGAGATTAATGCCAGTCGTGGATCTGGCAACTTCTAGGCCAAGAAAGAACTTGAGTTGGCTGATATCTTTAATTTTGAAAGTATCATGTAAGAACTTTTTGACCTCATTTATTAATTCAATGTTGTCACTTGCCAAAATGACATCATCAACATAAATTAGCAAGGCTATAAAATGAGAACCAGCTTGTCTTGTGAACAGAGAAGTATCAGAAATTGCCTGAGTGAATCCTTGAGACAACAAGGCATCAGTGAGTTTTTTATTCCATTGTCTACTTGCCTGCTTGAGACCATAGAGTGACTTAGTTAATCTGCACACTTTTGAAGGATCTGAAGTTTCAAAACCTAGGGGAAGAGTCATGTAAACTTCTTCATGTAAGTCACCATGCAAAAAGGCATTGTTAATATCCAGTTGTTGCAAATGCCAATCTTTAATAGCTGTAACAGCAAGTAAACATCTAATAGTTGTTATTTTTGCAACTGGAGAAAAAGTATCAAGATAATCAATGCCATTCTGTTGAGTATAGCCCTTGGCAACTAGTCTTGCCTTGTATCTTTCAACGTTGCCATTTGCATGATACTTGGTTTTAAAAACCCATTTGCACCCTATAGGTTGTTTTCTTGCAGGTAAATCGATTAAAACCCAAGTATTATTTTGCTCTAATGCCTTAATCTCAAGTGCCATTGCATCCTTCCAGCATTGTGATTTTATAGCCTCATTATAGGTTCTAGGATCTTTGGTTTGGGAGATTTGAGTAGCAAAGAYCCTATGAAAAKRAGATAATTTGTGAGTGGAATAGGTAGAAGATATATGGGGTGAGGATTGGAGGTTTTGAAAACAGAATTGGCTTTAAGATTTGGTATTTGACAGTGATATTGGTCAAGATATGAAGGAAGTGTATGAGGTCTGGATGATCTTCTAGGTTAGGTTTTAGAATGTGTAATTTGTATGAGATCTGGTGAAACATTAGTAGAAGGGTTGGATCAATAGTGGTATTATCTGAAGTGGTAAGTGGTGGTGATTGATTAGTAGATAAAGATGTGAAAAAAAGTGGAGAGGGTTCTGTTAAAGGAACTGCATATTCTGTGGGAAGAACAATGTCTGAATTATCTATTGAGAAAGAATTAGAATGAAAAGGGAACGAGTGTTCATAGAAATGCACATCTCTTGAGACAATGACCTTTTTAGTTCTAAAATTATACAAACAAAAACCTTTAGTGGCAGAAGGATAGCCAAGAAATACACAAGGATTGGCTCTAGTATCAAACTTAGTTCTATCTGTATCAAGTGTAGAAGCAAAGCAAAGGCATCCAAAAACTTTCAAATGATCAAATGAAGGAGCAACATGATAAAGAAGTTGAAATGGAGTTTTGTTTGAAATGATTGGGGAATGAGTTCTATTTATTAGATAGATTGCATGAGAAACACAATCAGACCAGAAGGAAAGGGGAAGTTATGATTGAAACTTGAGAGCTCTGGCAACATTCAAAATATGTTGGTGTTTTCTCTCAACAATAGAATTTTGTTGAGGAGTATACACACATGTAGTTTGATGAACAATACCTCTTGAAGCATAAAAATCAGACATGTTAAATTCTAAAGCATTATTAGATCTAATACACTTTACTTTTGTAGAAAATTGAGTTTCAATCAAAAAACAAAAGTTTTGAATATGTTGTCTAGCTTCAGATTTAGTTTTCATAAGGTATATCCATGTAAATATACTCTTGTCATCAACTATTGTCAAAAAATATTTATGTCCATAAAATGAAGGAGTAGAAAAAGGACCCCATGTATCAATGTGAATCAAATCAAAACAATTGGCAGAATTAGAATGACTAATGGGGAATGAAAGTTTTCTTTGTTTGGCATAATGACATATGGAACAGTAATTTGAAGATGGTAGTGTTATAGAATGATCCAATGCTCTCAAAAGTTTCAATCGATGATTGGACAAATGCCCCATCCTAAAATGCCATATATCAATTGCATTAGGCTTATTATAAAAAGGAATAGAAACAGAATTACAAGTAATGGAAGAATTACAAGAAATAGAATGTAGGATAAGCTTATAGAGGCCATTGACTTTTTTAGCTAATCCAATCATCTTCTAGCGTTGATGATCCTGGAGGATACAAAGATTGTGTTGAAAAATGAGACAACAAGGA